ATTTGATGCATTAAGTCTGGCCTAAAGATGAAAGGAACTGGAATAAGGGGCCCAGCAATATACAGATTAACCTAGTTACATACATGTGAGCATATGCACAAACAGAAAGAGAGAGCTGGAAATGCATGTAGCAAAATGTTAATAGTATTCTGTGTCATTAGTCATATTGTTGGTATAATAAATCATAAAATAATTTTCATTATTTTTGTACTTTATTGGCTTCTCCAACTCGATTGGTGAAATTCTGTAAAACAATGATGATCCTAATAATAAGAACTAATATTTTTTGATTGATGGCATGATTTCATGTCAGGTACTTTTCCAAATGTTTACATATACAGTAGTGCCCCCTTATCAAAGATTTTGGGTTTTTTTTTTTTTTGCTGTTTCAGTTACCCTAATTTGTAGCATGATAATATTAAATGGAAAAGTCCCAGAAACAAACAACTCATAAGTTTTGTTACTGGAGGTTTGGAGTAGACTGTGGAGTGATCCTCCATCTTTTGCTGTAATGCCTAAAATTAGGGCATTTACCCCAGCACTGAAGCAGCAGTACAGATAGTACCAGAGATAGTAACTAGAGTAGGGTTATTGCAAGGCAAGAGAAAGTGAGAATATCCCAGAGCAAGGGGTCAAACAGATCAGCTAGGGACCAAAATGTGTAGAAATGATTTTTTCTTTTTTCTTTTTTCTTTTTTTTTTTGAGCTTTTGTTATAATGGTGATTTTGCAGTGGCATGAAACTTTGGAGTTCCAGTAGCCATGACTCTTCCAGCTGGCTCTGGCTGGCTCTTGCACAGCTGCTGCCCATTTGGGGAAAGTCATATGCCTGTACTGTTTGAAAATAGAGGGATTGTGCCTGTGTACTTGGGTCACTTTGCCCTTTCGGGCTTAGCAGCATCAGCAGAAGGTCATATAATGATCAACTGACACTCAGAGCAGCTTATGGACATAACTTTAGGTGAGAAAATTTCTCATTCACACAGACTGGGATGTATACCTCCTAGCAGTGTTGTGTTTAGGCCATGGGGAATCAGGGCAAAGGGGAAACCTGTCCCCAGAGAGAACCTCTCTGTCCTCATTTCCAGGAATGACTATCGAGAGCAGAGCAGCTACTTTCACTATCAGGAGGGAAGAAAGCCAAAGGAAGCCTGAAGTCACCAAGTACCAGGACATCCAGGGATTTAAAATAGCTGTTTGAGAAAATCTATATAGAGCTTAAAAGCAAGTTGTAATAGAACCTTACCCAATAGAAGCAGGCACCTGCCAAGCATTTTTTGCTCATTCCTATTGCTTGTTTCCCAGCATTGCTTCCTCAGATTTAATTTTTCCCTTATAAGCCCCTCACTCTCTGGATGATTTAATCCTCTTTTAGATGTAACCATTATGCACAGTTCATAAGTAGAAATGCACTTTTCCTTAGTGCCCCTGATAGTCTCTTCTTAGATGGCTGCATCCACCTCCTCTCTACAAGTCCCACATGTGTCCATCAACTTGCCCTTCACTCTCCCATTGTCCCTATCTCAACTTTTTTCTTTTTTTCTCTACTGTGTCTCCTTCTCCCAAACACAGTGCAGAATTGGACAAGATGCTCTCTTTTATCTCTTTTCAAAGCATTCTGCCAAATCKATAATAACCATCAGTGGTGTAGATTTGAATTTAATGCATTAAGTCTGGCCTAAAGATGAAAGGAGGCTGGAATAAGGGGCCCAGCCATACACAGATTAATCTAGTTACATACATGTGAACATATGCACATACAGAGAGAGAGAGAGCATCTGGAAATACATGTAGCCAAATATTAATAGTTATTCATTTGGGCATTACATCTGGTCACTTCTACCTGTGGATGTTTCTGGAAGCCTTGGACTTTGCAGGAACATCTTATCTCAGGCCTTAGTCTTTTCTTTTTCCAATTTATTGCTCATCTAGTCATCAATTATTCTTGTAGAACAAAATTCTGATCTTACCTCTCTCCTGCTTAACCACATCCAATAGTTTGCCCATTGTCTGGATAGTTAATATTCCTAAGCACTGAATGTATTTTTTCCATGTCCCTTCACCCCCAATTAAGTTTTGTTTTGTTTTGTTTTTACCAGCTCTTTTAACTTCTTAGCCAAGACTGATTTCTTAATATGCTATCAAGTGTGAGGTACATGTTATTTTAGCTGGAGAGCTTTCTGGAGATAACTATAATTTCTGGGTGGGGTGTGTTTACTTAGGGAGTATTGTAAATGGTCAGTACACTAGAGTGACACAGTATTTTGCTTATTCTGCTTGTTGATAGTAGCAGCCCCCAAATCATGTAGTATGTCCTGCTTTATTTTGGAGAAAATTAATCACATTCCAAATATACTTAAGCTGAAAAAAAGTAATCAAAATACAAATGTACTTTAGGAAATACCTCTTATTCTGCATTTTAAAGGTTTTAAGTGTGTGTGTGTGTGTGTGTGTGTGTGAGAGAGAGAGAGAGAGAGAGAGAGAGAGAGAGAGAGAGAGAGATGCAGTCTCTCCAGGGATCAAATTATTTCATTCCTTTCTCCCCCAATATTTCTTTATTCTTAAAATATCGATTTTTTCCTCTTTTAGGTCATACTTTGTCCATTTGTGTTGGGAACTTTATTTAATTATTATTTTTATTCAAGGATTATAAACCATATCAAAGCCTGTTGTCACAAGATGGATCTGAAGACCAAAATTCAATGTCCTATAGTCTTGTACAATATAGTAAGGTACTTAAGCCATGAGTAGTGTTATTTTTCTATGGTAAAGGAAATTTTTTCCTCTCCTCCTTTCACCAAAGCACACAATAATTTTCATAAATTTCCTGCTTCAAAGTTTTTAAGTCAGTTGAATTATTGTTTTTTTTTTTTTTTTTTTTTGTTGGTACCAGCAATTGAACCCAGGGGTGCTTAACTGCTGAGCCACACAGGATTTTTCTACGTTTTTTTATCCTAGTAAAAATTACTGTAGGCTCTTTAGTAGCAGCACATAGATATGGCAGACAGTTGTAAGAATATTATGGGTAGAAATAAAAGTAATAGTAAGCATTACTGAACTTATTAGTTTCAAGAATACAACATTTCCAATTTCAGCTTTTAGAAGCCATGCTTCCTGTACCCTAGTTCCAGCTAAAGGAATGAGAAGTCTAGGAGGAAGCATGACATTTACATACACAGTGTCTGCATGTAGTTTAACGTAGTTTAGAAGTTAATTATTACCATTACTCAATTAGCTTATTAGATTCAAGAAGAAAAACCAATTAACAAATATTTATTGACACAGGAAGGACTGTATCATGAATATATAATGTTAGGTGCTGGGAAACAAAGTGGGAAAACAAAAGAGTTTAAAGACTGGAGGAGATGTTATACATTCAACAAGTGATCACAATATACTAAATAAATGAATTAAAGGCTACAGTATACCATGAGCAAGAAATATAGGGAGGGTCAACACTAGAAATCTAATACATACATGCATGCACATGCACACATATTCAAAAGGACCAGAGCTTAGAATTTATCTTTTCTCTACCTTAAGTGACAGCTTTGTTTATTTGTAACAAGTAATATAAATAGAAGCTTGTATATAAAATTTATGTGTACCTTTTTTCTGCTGCTGTTTATTGCTGCTTGATGAAAACAAACAGGTTCTACTGATGCTGGTAGACAGAGTCACTGCAGTAAAATCTRTTCGAGATGTGTGATTGTTGTGAGTTCTAATATAGATGAGTGGTAGATTCACTTATGAAATTTGGATGACTGTTTACCTAAGCAATTGAGCATGGTGGCTAAAGACTCTGGCTTCTGTATAACACTGGCTCTACTACTTAATAGTTGTGTAATCTCAGACTTTAATCTGTAAAATGAAGATATATAATCACATTAACAACCTCAAATTTAGGATAAGGATGAAATGTGCTAATACATGTAAAGCACTTGGAACAGTGCCTGGTACAGAGTAATGCTATATAAATGTCATCTATTGTTTTTCTCTAACACAGTCCTGGATTTTTAGCCAACTAACTGAGCACAATAATATTGAATCTCATGGATACAGGAGGTTTTTGTCAGGGGCATACCAGAAAAGCTCTATTAAGCACAGCTAAGGGAATCCAGGAATTTAGTACTATATTTATTGTCTTTAATATTGAGTATCAAGGTGTTAAATGATAAAGACAGTGTTTTCAAGTTAGAATATGACATTTTATTCTGTCACTGTTAGATAAAGTAGTAAAAACAGTAGTTGATTGTCTTCACATGTTAGCTTCCTTTAGACTTTTCAAATGATACATTTGGCTTTTTACACAAATATATTGTGTCTTAGTTCAGTTGGACAATTAAGAGCATAGATAGGAAGAGCTGATAGAAGCTTTTAATATGTGAAAAACCTCAGACATAAACCTTTACAATGTTATTAATAGGCATATCATCAACAACAGATTTTCAGATTTTATGCTTCACTCTGGACAAAAACAAGAGCATGACATCTTGAAGTTGTTCACTGGGTAATTTAAAACTCAGTTATAATGTGAACACCAGCTGCACATATCATGTTACTTGAGTTCAGCATCAATTAAAATTGTAAATGAAACTAGTCATATGTTCCCTTTCAAATCAACAAACTCAAAGCAACTGTCYAAATCAATAAAGTAGCATGAATATTTTTACCATAAATATTTTGTTTAATTGTGTTTTCTAAATCCATTTTTAGTGGGGGGCAGGTACCGAGGATTGAACCCAGGAGGGTTAACCACTGAGCCACATCCCCAACCCTTCTTAAATATTTTTTTTTCTTAAACTTTTTAGTTGTAGATGGACACAATATCTTTATTTATTTATTTTTATGTGGTGCCGAGGACAAAACCCAGTGCCTCATACATGGGAGGCAGGCGCTCTACCACTGAGCTACAGCACCACCCCCACCCCCTTTAAAATATTTTATCAAGAGGCAGGGCCTTCCTAAATTGATGAGGCTGGCTTTGAACTTGCAATTCTCCTGCTTCAGCCTCCCCAGTCGCTAGGATTACTGTGCCACTGCTCCTGGGCTTAAATCTATTTTAAATTCTGATTTCTATTCTGTTCAAATGAACTATAGTATGATAGCTAATACACATCAAGAGCTTTCTATGTAATCCAGGTGGCTTTATAATTTTGTTCTAACCAGAAAATTATTTAAAGCAGTCGCAACTTTTAGACAATACAGTCTCAAGGAGAAGAAAGAGAGGGCAGCACTGAGAACTGAAATGTGTCGTCTTGAGGACTGTGTTCTTTATACAGCATTTATACTGACGTCATCTTTTAAAAACTAAAAATCTTGTATCACTTATTTAGAAAAGAGAGTGGCGTTTTTAAGATGAGTATCTCCAGCTTGCCCGCCTCCGATGATGGCTATTAACCAAAAGAACGTACTCTTTTGGCGGCTATGGAAAATAAGACGGAAAAGTAAGAATGAGTTTTGGAGTGTAAATCAACCTCCCAGACAGCCAGTAAGACCGTGGATTCCCGGGCCCCGCCTTCTTCACAGCCCCCCCCCCCCAACCCGCGGGGTGGAGCACCTGCCAGGGCGCGCAGGGCGGGGCCGAGAAATGTGCTGTCCACTGCGCGCGCGGCAGGGGTTCCAGTGAGCAAGTGCGGCGGGGCGCTCGGTGCAGTTGAGCGTGCGGGCTGAGTCCTGAAGGGTTGCGGGACCTGGGCACGATGAAACCCGAAGGGGAGCGGCCGACGGTCGGGGTTGCGTGCGATGGCTTCTCAGAGCTGGAGCTGCTGAAACTGCGCGCGGCGGAGCGCATCGACGAGGCGGCTGAGCGGCTGGGGGCCCTGAGCCAAGCCATCTGGAGCGAGCCTGAGCTGGCCTACGAGGAACACCGTGCCCACCGTGTGCTGACGGGCTTCTTCGAGCAGGAGCCGCCGGCCGCCTCCTGGGTGGTGCAGCCGCACTATCAGCTGCCGACCGCCTTTCGCGTGGAATGGGAGACACGGAGCGCAACGCGGTGCGCGCTGCACTTGGGCTTCCTCTGCGAGTACGACGCGCTGCCCGGCATCGGCCACGCCTGCGGTCACAACCTCATAGCCGAGGTTGGGGCGGCGGCCGCTCTGGGATTGAGGGGGGCCCTAGAGAGCCTCCCTGGGCCTCCTCCATCGGTGAAGGTGAGGTGGGGCCGGTACATCCCTTGCACCTTAGTCCCTGGGCCGGTGTAGGGAGTGCGCTCGACGTGTGGCCATCCCTTTGGCAAAAGGCAGAAAAGAATCCCCGAAAGAAAGTCAGGACTAAACGTGTTGCCGACTAGCGACCTTCTGCAGACTTTTTATTTCCACTTTTGTAGTTATAAACAACTCAGGAGATTCTTCTCTTGGAAAGAATTGAGAACCAAGCCTGGTTTTTGTTACGGGTTATTTTTGGTGACTGAGAGGCAACTGCAATTTGCTGACAAGTAATTCCTCCAATTACTTCAGGAGAAAGTAATTTTTGTAGGAAAACCTGTATATATATATATATGGAGAGAGAGAGAGAGAGAGAGAGAGAGAGAGAGAGAGGGAGGGAGGGAGGGAGGGAGGGGGGGGAGGGAGAGGGGTTATGATTTGCTTGGTCTTTGAATAGGAAAATTTCAGCCATTAGAATCCTCTAACTTCTAGAATTATACTAATAATGGAAAAGCAAATGAACATTTAGTACAAAGATAAGTTCATCCTTAAGTCTTAATTTTTATTTCACAATTTTAAGAAATATACCAATTCCTTAAACGGGAAATGTTGTTTATGTTTGTCTTAGGCAAGTTTAATCTTGTGATATTCTGTTTTTCCAGATGTTATATTATTCTTCATTCTGTGAGCTAAGATTCAATCATCATCACTCAGGTTAAAGGGAAGACAAATGTTTTAATATTATTTAGCCCATTTCCCCCCAATGTCAGTAACCTTTCTCTTTTGTCCTAACAGTTCCATCTCTCTAGGCTTTCTCTTTAGCTACCTTCTATTTTCAGCCGCTAGGGGCTGGTTTTTGCCTTAGATTAGCTTTTTTGTTTTGTTGGGAAGGGGGAATATCCTTTGTCATTGCATAAAACATTGGAGAGATTTAGTTTTAACCAGGTTTATGAAAGACTCGGAGCTGTCAGCAATAGACCATCCATTTTATAAGTCTAGAGTTAAGAATAAAGAGCAGCTAGTTTAAGAGTGTGGAAACTTTATGGTTTCTAAAGAAAACTGGAGTTTGAGAAATGTACCAACTTCACATTCCAGATGATTGTTCTCAGTTTCAGCAAGGTTATCTGTTCTCAGTTTAGCAAGTTTATCTGTCTTAGCAAGGTTATCTGTTCTCAGTTTAGCAAGGTTATCTGTCTTATCTGAAAATGGAATTTGAGCTGATTCTCTTTGCAAGCCAAGAATTTTTTTCCAGGTTGTTCCATTGTGTTCAAAGACATGACCTTGAAAGTATGAGTTGTTTATAGATAATTTTCTTTTGCTTTTTAAAATTGAAGAAGTTAAGCTTAAGTTTCAAAGTAAAATGTTTATTCTGTAAAGTTTTCTTTTGTTTAATTAGGTGATTGGTGACCAGTAAATCTGCCTTGGTTGATTAGTAAGTTTGTGTAGTAGTTGGCCATTTCTTACCATGGTATGAAGATTTGTTTAATGCTCTTCATAAGGGATTAATGAGTTAAGACTTTTTAAGTAGGTATCTTAGTAAGGAATAGTTCAGGYCAGCAGGTTAGGGCATCTAAGGTAATTTAGCTGTGCCCAAAGATTTGCTCTTTGACCTGGGGCAAGACACTTTCAAAACCACCCTCCCCAAAATGATGATGCTGGTTACTCATCTACCTCACAGGGTTGTTGTGAGAATGATTAACAAGTCACTTGAAAAATTCCTTACCAGTAAAATGCTGATGAATAGCTCTATACATATACTAAAAGTCTAAGTCATGAAGAAGCTTTAAGAAATAAGTCCTTGCAAATTTTGAGGAACTAGGTATGTAATATTCAACTTTTTTTTCATATTTGCCATTCGTTATACAAATTTGAGTTATTACAAATAACTATCAATAAATATTGGGAAAAAAATAAATAAATATTGGGAAAGTTTCTTATAGTGTCCCTGGTACATACATACATTACTTCAAATTAGTATAATAATGTAAATTAAATTTTGTGATTAATTTAGCACCATATATTTTATGCCCACTGCATAAATCCTCTGTCTCCATAGTTTAAGAACCTTAATATAGATTGTGAGTACATGTTTGAGGGAACCTGTTTGATATTTTCCTACTAGGACTTTTTGTTGTTGTTTTGCTCTGAAATAGGTATTTCCCTCTAGATAAGTGTCCTGGGAACCCCTGCAGAAGAAGATGGTGGTGGCAAAATTGATCTAATTGAAGCAGGAGCTTTTAAAAACCTCGATGTTGTTTTCATGGCCCATCCATCCCAAGAGAATGCTGCTTATCTACCCGATGTGGCAGAACATGAGTAAGTAATCAAGCTGCAGATAAACTTCTTAGAGGATAACTGACTATAGAATACTTTTATGTCTAAGGGCCCAACACTCCAATTTTTTTTTCATTTAAAAAGTAAATTGATATGTATGAATATGGTATAATGAATCCCACCACTATGTATAATTATAATGCTCCAATTAAAAACAAAACAAAACAAAAACCCAGTAAATTGAGTCAGATGCAGTGGTGTGTGCCTATAGCTACAGTTACTTGGAAGACTGAGGCATGCGGGAGGAGTGCTTGATCCTGTATGAATTTGGAGACCAGAATGGGCAATTTATTGAAACCCCAGAACAACAAAACAAGAAGTGTATTGTAAGGGCTGGGGATAGAGTGCTTGCCTCSTATGCACAATGCCCTGAGTTTAATCCCCAGCAACCCCCCATCACACACCCACACAAAAGTATATTGTAAGATAATGTGATGTCTTAACTTACATTGAACGACATTTGGTAAGACTCCAAAACAAAACAAAAAGTGTATTGAAAGATAATGTGATGTCTTGATTAACATTGAGTGACATTTGGCAAGACTCTTCTAATTGAGATTTATTATAGTATTCATAATAGGGCTGCTAAAATAGTGCCTAAAAAACAGGAGTAGCAAACAGAACATGGTGACATTTATGTTCTGTTTTGAACTCTGAGAGGAATCTGATTTCTGGAAAGCGTGTATTCTTTGATAAGGAGTTGCCTTTGCAACTGAAAAGATTTGTAAGAGATGGTTTTATTAGTCAGCCTACTTGGCCCCAGGCCTGTTTCAGTGTCTGGCTTCTTTGTTTTTTCATGGGTCATCTTTTTAAGATTTCCACAAAAGAGGAACAAGATGAAGAATTTAAAGAAAGTTATTAATTTATCTCTTTAAATTTCTAATAATGAATAAGATAAAGCAAGTTTTTCCTATTGGCCACCTTTCCCATATCCAGTCCCTTCTTTGCTGTTGTTTTCTCCAGTGCTGAGGATGGAACCCAGGTCCTTACACATGCTAGGCAAGCACTCTACCACGCAGCTACAGCACTAACCCTCCAGTCCCCTCTTTAGAGGTGTATTTATAGCACATGCATAGGTTTATAGGACATGCATAGGTACATGTATAAATTAAATATTGAAGGAAGGTTTTTTTTTCTCTCTCTGAGGAATTCAGCTTAACACATACACATACACACATTTTATTTTGTTTTATTGAGGTAATCAGGGTTGAACTCAGGGGCCTTCTAGAACTGAGAAACATCCCCAGCTCTTTTWTTATTTTTTGAGACAGAGATTTCCCATATTGTTAAGGCTGGCCTTGAATTTACAGTCCTCTTACCTCAACCTCCTGAGTCACTGAGATTACAGGCATGTATCACTATGCCCAGCCATTCAGTATATTGTTCTAGCTAGTTGCAGTGGCACATGTGTGTAATCCCAGTGACTCAGGAGGCTGAGGCAGGAAGATTGTGAGTTCAAAGTCAGATGCAGCAATTTAGGCCCTAAGTAACTTAGTGAAACCCTGTCTCAAGTAAGAAAAAAAAAAAAAAGGGTGGGGATGTGGCTAAGTGGTTAAGCACCCCTGGATTCAATCCCTGTTGCAAATAAATAAATAAATAAATAAATAAACAAACAAACAAACAAACACCCACCCACATTGTTTTGGCCCTATTTTTTAATTTAAGTTTTTTTTTTTTTGAAATGGGTCTTTCTGTTTTGCCCAGGCTGGCCTTGAACTCTTGATCCTCATGCTTCAACCTCCAATAGCTGGCACCAGAGGCAAGTGCCACCATAACTAGTTCACAGGCCCTTGTTTTGTTAAAACAAAATCAAACAGTTTGTTTTGAAAATAATTTCATATTATTTTGCTTGAAGTATGTTTTTAAAGGCCAAAATATTAATGCTGATATAAAATAACTTTTAATATTTCTTTTCCTGTAGTTTATTGTTCTTTAATTGTATATTTAAGTGCTCAATGGAAGAGCGCTTGCCTGGCTAATGTGAGGCACTGGGTTCGATTCTCAGCACCACATATAAATAAATATATAAAGATCAGTCAACAACTGAAAAAAAAAAAAAAAGAAATGGTACTAGAGCCATTTTCATAAAGGACTTCCTTTTCCATTTTATACTCTAGTTTCAAGGTGATGGTGAAAAGATATATGTCAAGGAAATAAGTATCTTACAATCTTATAAATGTGTTTGAATGTTTTTACTTATCTTCGTTCTGCTAACAGAATGTGAGGAATGACATAAGAATTGGTAGCATTCTAAGAACTCCTGAATGTCCAGAATGGTTTTTTAGTCTAAATGTGAACAATACTAGTTAATTAGGTTTAAAAAGTGTTAACTAATTAAGTCAATCACTTAGTTACACTATTATTTAGTTATAAAGTTATAAGTATTTAATTCACAATCTGAGAATATGAAAACCATGGAGTGAAGTAATGATAATTTATAGAATTTTATTTTTTTTATTATTWTTTTTTTAATATTTATTTTTTAGTTTTCGGTGGACACAACATCTTTGTTTGTATGTGGTGCTGAGGATCGAACCCGGGTCACACGCATGCCAGGCGAGCGTGCTACCGCTTGAGCCACATCCCCAGCCCAATTTATAGAATTTTAAAACATTAATGAAGTATGGGGATATAGCTCAGTAGTGGGGAGCTTGCCTAGCATGTATGAGGCCCAGGTTTCATCCCCAGTGCTGGAAACAAATTAAGTTAAATAAAATGTTAGCCACCTAAAGTATTTGGAAACATTAAAATATTGCTAGGGTATCTTATGATAAAATTGTGAGTATAAAGTGATTTTCAAAGATTATCTTAGCCCATTTCAAATGTTACTTTCTAATAAAGAATTATCTGAGTTTTTTTTTTTTTTTTTTTTGTGGTGCTGGGTGCTGGGATTGAACCCAGGGCCTTGTGCATGCAAGATAAGCACTCTACCAACTGAGCTATTTCCCAGCCCTTATCTGAGTTTTTGCAGACTTTTGATAGAGAGCTATCATCATACAGTGTAAAAGGATGCAAGAATTCYTATTTTATAATTGCATCATGTAATACAGTATTGCATATGTGTTCAAGTTGAATTGTGTACAAATTTAATCTGTAGGAGGTTGGTTGAGCAACATTTTCTTTCTCTATTTAGAATACTTTCTTTGAGTTAAGTACTATGTCACATAATAATAAGTTGTAACTAATGCAAGTAAATGTAGTGCTTTTACTGCAAATAATTTGCAAGTAAAAATTTCAGCAATGTGAATTTATTTTGAATAATAGTTTGGTAGTTCTAACTACCTGCATTTTTTTTTTCTTTAGTGATACTAGAGGGAGTAATTTTCAATGATTTTTTTTTTTTTTTAGTTGTAGATGAACACAATACCTTTATTTTATTTTTACATGGTGCTAAGGATCCCAYCCAGAGCCTCATGCATGCTAGGCAAGTGCTGTATCACTCAGCCCCAGCCCCAGCCTTTTCAATGATTTTTTTATTTCCTAGTGTGACTGTGAAATACTATGGAAAAGCATCTCATGCTGCTGCTTACCCCTGGGAAGGAGTCAATGCCTTAGATGCTGCTGTTCTTGCCTACAACAATTTGTCTGTGTTAAGACAGCAAATGAAACCAGCCTGGAGAGTTCATGGTATTACTGTCATATATTTTGTATAATGGTGCTTAATATATTTCAGTGAAATATAATTAATATTTGATTTTTTAAAAAATTGGAAACATAGTTATGTACTTCATATGAAAATTCTAAAATTTTGAACATTTTCAGAATTCATGTGACAGGGTACTAGGATATTTATATGTGGATAGGAAGATATTTACAACTATTGTACATAAATGGAATGGCCATCTTTGAGCAATAGAGCTGAAGTTTTATGTGGGGAACKGTTTTTTCTGTCAGTGTTTGAAAGTAAGAACTTGATTTTCTGGTTATCCCATTGTCTCTTAATGTTAACAACATTTTGTCCATTCCTCAAATTTAAAAAGGTGTAAAGATTTTAATAAAGGTTGTTACATCCTGAAGAACATCTTTTTTTTTTTTTAAGATGTTGATGGACCTTTATTTTATTCATTTATTTAAATGTGGCGCTGAAAATTGAACCCAATGCCTTACACATGCTAGGCAAGCACTCTATCACTGAGCCACAGCCCGGCCCCATGAAGAGCATCTTTTAAAATTATGTGTGTCACCATAATATAAATACAGTAATAAAGTATACTGTCTTAAAGGTACATATTTTGTTATAGTTTAATATCTATTTTTTTACCTGTTAATTTTGCTATAGGCTGAAATCAGTTAGTAATTGCACTTTTGTCAATTTCCTGCCTTATTTTCTTTAAAAGGAAAAAAAATAGGAATTTTTAAATAATAGAAATATATATTTTTAAAAATTTATTTTTTAGTTGTAGTTGGACACAATACCTTCATTTATTTTTATGTGGTGCTGAGGATTGAACCCAGGGCCTCACACATGCTAGGTGAGTGCTCTACCACTGAGCCACAACCTCAGCCCCTAGAAATATATTTTAAGATGATGGAATGTGCTAGACATTATTACCCAAAGTACATGTAGAAAGACAGGAATTGGTGTGAATATACTTTGTATACAATCAGAGATATGAAAAATTGTGCTCTATATGTGTAATAAGAATTATAATGCATTCCACTGTCATATATAAATTTAAAAAAAATTAAAAAAAGAAAGACATTTTTAAGTAGGTCATATAGAATTAGATTGTGCATATCTATTTTGTTATTACTTTGGATAAATCTTCATTCTGTGTAGTTCCAAATGTGTTTGTTTTGACAGTTTACAGTACTTAGGATCCTGACCTGAATGATTTCTTTTTGGTATGAAAATTATTTTCCCAGAGCTAAATACCATTTAGAGGATTTATGGAATTCTTGAAGTATGAGGGTAATTATAGAACCTCAAACATTGTTTTTTTTTTAATGTCAAAATTTTATCAAACAGTACAACTGTAGTAAAATAATGAAAAAATTTACCAGATAGTTTATGATATTACCACATTTTTTATAGTTATACATTTTTAAATTTTTTTTAATAATCTAGATTATAATTTCTTTCTGAGGTKCTGGGGATAGAACTCAGGGCCTTGCTTATGTTAAGCTAGTGCCCTATCAATGAGCTATACCCTCAGCCCTGAATCATAATTTCCTAATGTTAAATAGATTCCTTAGAATAAAGTACTTATAAGCRATTTTTTCCCTCTTAGCTAGGAAATATCACTCTCTCAATAGAAACTTATATTGTATAACTGTTAAAATGTTTGATTTTGGTATATCAGTGAAGTAAATAGGTTTAGATTATTTTTCTTTATGTACATATTGTCTAAAAAACTTATGGATTATATTTAACCTTAAAGTAATGATYATAGGCTTAATTTCAGTAATTTGATTCTTTTTATAGGTATAATAAAAAATGGTGGTGTAAAACCAAATATCATTCCCTCTTACTCTGAATTAATTTATTACTTCCGTGCACCCTCATTGAAAGAACTTCAAGTTTTGACCAAAAAGGCAGAAGATTGCTTCAGATCTGCAGCTTTGGCTACAGGGTGCACAGTAAGAACTTTTCAGAGTTAATTATAATCAGAGGTATATATGTGGGCTTGGGCTGTTTATGTTAAATTAGATTGAAACCTAACTTGCTTGCCTCCTTCTCATTTGATGGTGGTAATATTTTGGTGCTGGGGATTGAACCCAGGGCCTGTACTCAGTAGTGATGTCTGGAATTTGTAAAGTGAGTTGGTCTAATAATTAATATGAAAGCCTTTTATTCTTATGTATTTTACTCATTGTCTGAAAAGGGAAGACTACACATCTTTTTTTTTTTTTTTTTTTTTGTCTGAAAAGGGAAGACTACACATCTTTTTTTTTTTTTTTTTTGGTACCAGGGATTGAGCTCAGGGGCACTTAACCACTGAGTCACATCCCCAGTCCTATTTTGTATTTTTATTAGAGACAGGGTCTCACTGAGTTGCTTTTTGCTGAGGCTGGCTTTGAACTTGTGATCCTCCTGCCTCAGTCTCCCCAGCCATTGGGATTACAGGCATGTGCCACCACTCCTGGCTTATACATCATCTTATAGAGTAATTTGGATATTGCTGCTCTAGAATCCCTGCCTTTTGGCAAGTTACAACCTTCATTGTTGGCAGTTATGCTTTTAGAAATGCTTACAGTAAATGGAACTTAATGTCAAAATCTACAAAAGCTGTTTTTGTTAAAATAGTGATATAAATACTCTTARATGGCTGGAATGGAAGTTAAACACAGAAGCTAGTCAAGAGAATTTGCTGATTTGCATTTAAGTATCAGTCATGTATGGTATAAAGTGGGGTGAGTTTTAGGATTATATAAAATAAGAATTTTGCACATAACCTAGTTGGAGAGACAAGATCTTGACTTGTGCTGCTCAGCCTCGAAACATTATTTGTATCTCTGAGTCTCCATTTTCTCAYTTGCAAATAGGGATAATGACACAATCTTAGAGTTCTTTTGAGAGATAAATGAAATAGTGTTTGTGAACAGATAAGAGCATAACCTTCACAWGTATTAACATTTTTTCTGTCCTCCGTAGTCTAGTGATGTATGATTTGTTCACATGGTAGCAGTGTTTCATGGTAGCAGTAATTCTCARACTGTGTATGTTAAGTGTATTAATAGTAATGTGGATAGTAAGTGTTAGGAAGAATATGAGACAGGAAATCACTGGCCTGGGGGTGTAAAAAGGAAGATTTTATGGAAGACTATAGATCTGAATGGAGCTTTTAAGGATGATCATACTTTCAGGTATGTGAAGGACAGAGTGAGAGCGCACAGATGGGAAATGTGATCAACAAAGGGAAGAATTCTGTAAAAGCTCATGTGTTGTTGTGAATAGATAAATAGATACGTGGACAATTGTAAGAGAAAGTACATAGCCTCATATGCCATTACAGACAGTAGGTATAGAATTAGTATATAATTATAAAGCATCCATAGTTTAGGGCAGTACAAACTAAGCTTTTATTCCCTTACTTACCTATAAATATTTAAATATTTGTTTATAAAATATATATGTGAACTCTTACCATTAGCCTATCTCTCAAAGTGTACAATATTCCCTTAGTAAAGTTTATTGTTATAGTATTTAAATCTATTTAAGTGATGTTTTAATAATTTCTTATATTTTGACTGACTTGAAAGATGTGACTAAATTGTCATTGTTTCTACCTTAGATGTTACCAAGAAGGGAAGAAATGTGATCTCTGCTATTTCATGATTGGCATTTGCTATCATTTTTGATATTATATTTAGTCCAAGGGAATTGTCGATTTGAGTTAGTCCTGAATCTATAAATCCACTTAACTGGGCACATACACACCCCAGGCTAGTGATTTCTTGCCTCAGATTCTTCCTGAAACTTACTATCCACATTACTATTAGTACACTTAACATACACTGTCTGTATCTTCATACACTTAAATTAATAAATGAGGACCACTGTCAACCCCTTCTCATTGTGAAACTTTGGTATTTCTTGCAGGGTACCTTTCGGACCAGGCAGGGGTATCAGTGTCATTTTGTATGTTGAATGTTAGTGAAGCTCAATTTTTTTTCTTTTGGACACTGAAACTAGAGTTGTATTCCTCAGACTGTTTTTTTTTTTTTTTTTTTGCCACCTGCATCAGAATTACTTGGGGATGCTGGTTAAAATAGTAATTTCTGGGCTCTCCCTACACCTTCTTCAGATGACTGAAGTTTTTTTTTTTTTTTTTTTTGCCACCTGCATCAGAATTACTTGGGGATGCTGGTTAAAATAGTAATTTCTGGGCTCTCCCTACACCTTCTTCAGATGACTGAAGTTGACACTTGCTGGCTAGTTTAGAGCTTGGTGACATTATGTGGTTTAGATAATTTAAAACATTAGGGAGATAGGGTCTTAAAGACTTTCACTATAAGATACATTTTTTTTTTTTTTAAGGTAGGGAATTTGAGTAAGCTTATGTCTAGATGGAAAAGTGCCCCTCTTGGCTGGGCATGGTAACACATGCCCGAAATCCCAGTGGCTTGGAAGGCTGAAGCAGGAGGATTGCAAGTTCAAAGCCAGGCTCAGCAATTTAKCGAGGCTCTATCTCAAAATAAAATATAAAAACTGGTGGGGTTGTGGCTTGGTGGTTAAGCACTTTTGGGTTCAATCCCCAGTACACCCCCCCATCCCTGGCCAAAAACAACAAATCTATTCCTGTTAGAGAGAACCCTCACTGGATTGAAAATTAGAGAATTTGCATTTTTTTAAATTTCAAAATTTGTTTTGTAATTTTTTTTATTAGGTAGAAATTAAAGGTGGAGCACATGATTATTACAATGTTCTACCCAACAAGAGCCTATGGAAAGCTTACATGGAGAATGGAGAAAAGCTGGGAATGGAATTCATTTCAGAAGATATAATGCTGAATGACACTTCAGGTAATTAAGTTCTTTTATTGTATTGCGAGCTACCTGAGGATGAGTAATGCCATCTTCAATTAAATGGTTTTGGAGGTAAGGAAGTACTGCTAATGTTTTTAATGACATTTTCACAAACTTAATGGTTGGGGGAAAACTAATGGATTCTTCAGTGTGTATAGACTGTCAAGTTAGCAGACTTGTTTTTATAAGTAGCCAACCTAATTTTTGATCTGTTTTCTGAATATTTCTAGTGTTTCAGTTTCCTTAGTTCTAATTTTTGAATAAGCTACTAAAATGGGATGTAGAATTTTAATTTATTCTCAGTTATTATAATGAGCAGGTTATAAAGTATTTAGTTATTTGGGGCATTTTCACATTCTGAAGAGTCACAGACAGCTGTTAGGATTTAAAATATATATGCATGCATTAAATAGCATAATTAATATGTTAAGTAATATTTGGACTATTTAGATTTTTTCTTTTTAAAGAATATTATTACTAAAGAGACCTGCAAGTTACAGATGTACCTCCTAAGATAGAAAAATAGATATTGTGAAGTAGAACCAAAAATACATCATAATAAAAATGGAGTACTGATATCATTTATGAGAAGAAGTTCAAGAGAAAGTGTAGAAATTCTAAAGTGGAGCTATTCAGAAGTCTTTTGAATCTAGAACCACAAAARTTGTACAGGTAGGAGATTTAGGGAGGTTGTTGTTAGTAAGATTGCCCAAGTATGAAGAGGGAGAAGATGCCCGAAGATGGAACACTGGGGTCAACAGCTTTTAAGAGATAAGCAAGGACACATTGTCTCCTTGATGGAGAAAGAGACAACATGCTCAGAGAAGATAATCAGGAGAGAGTGAGGTCATGGTAGCCAAAGGAGTAGAGAACTTCTAGAAGGGAAGGAGGAATAAATCATGTCAGGTGCTTATAGAGGTTGAATAAGGTAAGTATGGTCTAGTATTCATTGCACCAGCAATTAGAAATTTGTGGATTGTTTGAAAGAAAATAATGGGTGGCTGGTGAGACCAGATGCTAGATCTCACATCTTTACCCACTACATTGACTGGTGAGATAGTAGAGATAGCAAAGGAAGATYCTTCTTTTTTCAAGAAAGTTAGCTTTATGGGGCTGGGGATGTGGCTTAAGCGGTAGCGCGCTCGCCTGGCATGCGTGTGGCCTGGGTTCGATCCTCAGCACCACATACAAACGAAGATGTTGTGTCCGCCRAATACTAAAAAATAAATATTAAAATTCTCTCTCTCTCTCTCCCTCCCTCTCTCTTTAAAAAAAAAAAAAGTTAGCTTTAAAGGAAAGCAGAGTGGATGAAAACATAGAAAAGGTTTTTAAAAGAAATAGCTGAGAGAAGTAGATGCAGGTAAATGTTCAGGAAGGAGGGCAGGAATTCAGAGATGCCCTCCCTAAGAGGTTCTGCCTTCACATGGTAAGCCTTGAAGTGGCAGCTGGAGGACTGAAAGAATTGCCACTGACAGGAGTTGGCCAGGCATCAGTTGTGTGTGTATGTTCTGAACAGCATCAAGAACTCAGCTCAGTATTAAGACCATGAATTTATTGTCAAGGCTACTTTCATGTTCCTGTACTTTTATGCTAGCATGTTTATGCAGTCTAGCTGTGGGAGGGAAGATGCATGGTCAGATCTACCCAGAGATTGGATTTTATATAATAGACAAACAGCATGTGCAGAGATCCTGTGGTATCCAGATTGGATTTTATATAATAGACAAACAGTAGAATAAAGTGGCTATAATTTGGATATGGTTTGCAGGCTCTAGGATCTACCTCCACAAGTAAGATATTAAAATACTTAGCAGGCATTTGACCATCTTGTCCACTGATGTGCCATCACCATGTATCCTGAGTGTCTGGAGCCATTCCTGGTACTACTATGTGCTCAATGAATGTTTTCCAGTGAATCATTTTTCCAGAGCTCCAAAGCTTGGCCTTGGTCTGCCTTTACTACATAACTAGTAGCTATGAGATTATGGATACATGACTCTATACTTTGGTTTCTTCCTGTATAAAATAAGAACTTTTCAAATGTTAATGAAGCATTAGAATTTCATTTGGAACATGKTAATTCCAGATAAACATTAACTGCTGTTAAATATTTTGCTTTCATTCTCTTACCACTCATTCTTGTATAGTCTAACTTTGCCAGAAACAGTGTTTGACACATAATAAGCATTCAGTAAATATCTATTGAGTGAACAGAAGGCTTTGTTTTTACTATGATATATTTAGCAGATGTTAGTGTCAGTCAAGTGAGAGGCTAGAAGCATGGTGATTTAAAATATTGCTTTTTGCCTTAGAGAGTTTCAGAATGTGGTTTATGAGAGACATTAACCAAATAAGCCAATAAATGGAAAATGAAGCCAGGTACCTTTGCGCACACCTGTAATCCCARTGGCTTTGGAGGCTGAGGCAGGAGGATCATGAGTTCAAAGCCAGCCTTAGCAAAAGCCAGGTGCTAAGCAACTCAGTAAGACTCTGTCTCTAAATAAAATACAAAATAGGGCTGGGAATGTGACTCAGTGGTCAAGTGCCCCCAAGTTCAATCYCCAGTACAAAAAATAAAATAAAATGAAACCTGGAAAATTTTATGGAGGATTGTAATACAATACTGTGAGAGCCTTTGCTAGAGGACCTTACCATGGAGATAAAGTAAGAGTTCACTGAAGAAATGATGTTTAAAGCAGGTGGAGAGGGGACTGCATGTGTAGAAGTCCTATAGTGTCCAGAGTGGCTGAGGTGGAGCAGTGGGAGTGTGGTCTGAAACCAGGGTTAGGAAGGTGAATGGAGTCAGACCATATTAAGATTGAAAAAATTTTTAAAAAATGGAAAAAATATTGGCAAAGTAGATGCTGCTAGACCAATTAGGAGACTGTTATATCAGTTCCAACAAGAGGTGGTAATTATGTACACTAGGGACAGGTGATGGTGATGGTGATGGTGATGGTCAAGGGAAAAGTGTTAGGCTTCTGAGGCATTTGGAAAACAGTATTGATGGGTAGGGTTGAAGAACAGGAAGCTTATGAATTTTGATTTTAAAAGAAATAGTTGAACAAGGCCCTGGGTTCAATCCCCAGCAGCCCCCCCCCCCCCCCACACACACAAAGAGTAGTTGAGAAAAGTAGATGCAGGTAAGTGTTCAGGAAGGAGGGCAGGAGTTCAGAGATGCCCTCCCTGGAAGTCCTGCCCTCACATGGTAAGTCTTAAAGTGGCAGCTAGGGGACTGCAAAGATTGCCAAACACTTTGGCTGTGTTTGATCTACTTTGAAGACATCCAAGAAGAGTTAACAGTTGGGCTGGGGATGTGGCTTAAGCGGTAGCGCGCTCGCCTGGCRTGCGAGCAGCCCTGGTTCGATCCTCAGCACCACATACAAACAAAGATGTTGTGTCCACTGAAAACTAAAAAATAAGTATTAAAAAAATTCTCTCCCTCTCTCTCTCTTTAAAAAAAAAGAGTTAACAGTTAACAATTGGATGTACAAGCATGGAGCTCAGAAAAGACCAAGTTAGAGTTGGTGGTTATTTGAAGCGATATGTATGAACAAAATCTTGAGCAAGAATATGGCAGGATGKTTGTGAGAGGAATGGGAAAATAAACAAGGAGAGAAATGAATTACAGTAGATGGGGTAGAGAGAGAAGATGGGAGGGGAGGGGAGGGGAGGGGAGGGGGGATAGTAGAGGATAGGAAAGGTAGCAGAATACAACAGTTACTAATATGGCATTATGTAAAAATGTGGATGTGTAACTGATGTGATTGTGCAATCTGTATTTGGGGTAAAAATGGGAGTTCATAACCCACTTGAATCTAATGTATGAAATATGATATATCAAGAGCTTTGTAATGTTTTGAACAACCAATAAAAAAAAAAGAATATGGCAGGATAAGAGGAAAGAGCCTAGAATTGAGTCTTGAATAGTAATGTTTCATGGTTGCAGAGAGGAAGTTAAACCTCCAAGGGAAACAGAGGAAGGGACCATCATAGTTCACAGAAGGCAGGAAAGGGAGCAGCCCACTGTGGAGGCTGCTAGGAGGGCAAGTGAGAGTAGTCTTGGTTGGGAGAGAGTAGGTCTTGGGAGACCTTTCTGACAGCTGTGTGGGGACTGATGCAGGTGAAAGGGGAGGCAGTGAGAGCATGAGCCTGTGGCCAACTCTRCAGGGTGTTCACTTCACTAGGTCTAACAGGACAGAGAATCATAACCAAGTTCAGGTTACAATTTCATCATGCAAAGTATTTAACCAAATATATCTTTCTTTATGCATTCCAAGGATCTACCGATTTTGGAAATGTTTCTTTTGTGGTCCCTGGAATTCATCCATATTTTTACATTGGATCCAACGCCTTGAATCATACTGAAGAGTACACTAAAGCTGCAGGTAGGCTGTTGAGAGTGCAGGTTTTCACATGTGCTCACTCTTTTCCTATCAGTAGTGCCTTTCTAACTACTTAGTTTAGCTTGTTATTTCAGAAATAGATTCYGTGGTGGGTAGTTGGAGAGGCAACTTAGGGATTGGGGGACTTAACCTGAGGAATTAATAAGTTGATTTTTAATAAACGTAGAAATATTTTAATTCATTTTCTCTATCCTTTAGGATCACAAGAAGCTCAGTTCTACACTTTGCGAACAGCCAAGGCTCTAGCAATGACTGCATTGGATGTTATTTTTAAACCAGAATTGCTGGAAAGAATCAGAGAGGACTTTAAATTGAAACTTCAGGAAGAACAATTTTTAAATACAGTAGAATAAAAAGGAGACTTAGGAGTGGTTTATGAATCATTAAGAAGTGATGATTTTTTTCTTTAATCTTTTTTAATGAAGAGAACATGCTTGTTTTGAATCTTAAAGGAATCAAATTCTTCTTACCTGATATGTAAGAACAGGGTATGGTGAAAACATATTCACTCATATCTAAAATGAAATTTTTGGGTGAATCTATACTTGATGGAATTGTGATATTTCAGGAGTTGGTAGGTGATACTGCTGCTTAAGATGGATGGTACATGATGTGTCAAAATAATATTGATAAAATCTGTATAATAATTTACAGATTTATATATTATATATTTTAAAAGGTCCAAGAGGTTTCAAACCTTATATACAGAATTGACACCCACGAAATGGTTTTGTGGTACAGAGTGGTAAACTTATTTAATGTAGTTTTAAAGTTCATGGTCTAAATTTAGGTAAAGTTTGTTTCAAATATTTCTGTTTTTGCTTCAAAAAATCTCTTCATTTATAATAAAAGTAGCTTTTAATTAGAAATGCTTACGGGTAACAACTAGAAACTCAGATACAAAGAATAACTTTAGTTTTACCATTTGAAGAAAAATGAGAATGTTCTAGTTTTTACACATGATCAACTCTGGGAAGTGGCATTAAAGTAATTGGTAATTCAATGTTACAGTAAGAGGGTAAATGTTGGATGGTCAGGATCGGACTCTTCCTTTAAGGCATTTKCATGGTAGCCCTGTGTGTTCTAGGGAGGAGCATTGGCTGGCACCTACCCTGCTCTCTGGAATGTTCAGAATCCTGCACTGCCCCTCCAGCCAGCAGCCTGCTTAGGCTCCCACTCAGAAGCCAGCTTGCCCCACCTGGCTGCACTGAATTCTGAGCCTCCTTAAGCCTCCTGCTAGCTCAGTATTTTTTAAAAATTATTACAGGTTTTCCATGATTCTTATTTTAGTGTGAATTTCTTGAACATGCTAAAAAGAATGTGTGAAAAAAATATTTGGTAAAACAGATATTTTAAGCTGCGAATGCAATAAAGCTCCAATGTACTTTATTTTAAAGGAAGTCCTCAGCTTTGAACAAGCATTCCAGAAATGGAAAGGGAAGGAGAGAAAGTGTGCATTTGGCTTTTATGGTATAATAAGCAAGTCACTTGGGCCCTCTGAGCTATCAACTCACTTTTTGAAAAGTTAGATCTTCTACTTACAGTCTTTTGAACCCCTAATTCCTGCTGTATYTCAAATTATTTAAAATTGCAAGAGAGGTGGTTGTGTTTGGGAGAGTTAGTAGTTGAGAACTGCCTTTCTTCTGTATAAGGGTCTGTGGATTATGTGCCTGATTTTGGCATATAGCTGCCTTCTTTTAAAGCCTGCCAAGAATGGGTTTATATTTTTTAAAGGGTTGCTAAACAAAACAAAACAGAGACTAAATAATATGACCTGCAAAACCTAACATCTTTTCTGTCTGGCCTTTTTCAAAAAAGGTTGCCAGCCCTGGCTGTGTATAACAGTAAAATAAAATCCGTGTCTCTTTGACTTAGGTCATATGGTCGGATCTTCTGGCATAAAACTTCATAAAGAAACCCCCATATCTTTTAGCAATGACTTCTAATGCTGTGATTAGAAATAATTTCTTTCTTAACCCTCACACTTCAAAGGTATTTTCATAAACCTTTACTTAACTGAAATTACCATTGGTTGATTTTTACAACATCAAATTTCTAAATATTTTAAAATGTAAAGAGGGAAGTGTTAAATTATTATCTAAACAAAGTGTTCCTTTTAGAAAAGGAAGGATTCTGTTCAGCTCCTCCTCCTCCCTTTTTTTTTTTTTTTTTTTGAGACCAGGACTCACTAACCTTGAACTTTTAGTTCTCTTGCCTCAGCCTCCCAAGTAGCTGGGTTTGAGGCATGTGTCATAGCACCTAGCTTTACCTCTTTATTCTTACAAGATGAATGTTAATTCTTAGATGGTTAGCAAATAAGACTCATTTTTTTTAAAGACTGAGAGGGAGGGAGAGAGAGAGAGAGAATTTTAATATTTATTTTTTAGTTCTCGGTGGACACAACATCTTTGTATGTGATGCTGAGGATCGAACCCGGGCAGCACGCATGCTAGGCGAGCGCGCTACCGCTTGAGCCACATCCTCAGGCTAAGACTCATTTTTTTAAAAAAAAAATATTTTGTAGTTGTAGATGGACACAATACCTTTATTTATTTATCTTTATGTGGTGCTGAGGATCGAACCCAGTGCCTCACCCATGCTAAGCAAGCGCTCTACACTGAATCACAACCCCAGCCCAAGACTCTTTTATTTAGAATAATTATATTGTTTTTGAAGAAGGAGATAACCAAGTTTTTGTTCATTAGTTTCATGACATTTTATTATCACTAAGAGATTCTGTGATTATATATAGTTTTCCTTCACTGCCTATATATTTGAAGCTGGTGTGTGCATATTTTAAATTTTATTTTATTTTATTTTATTTTGATACTGGGAATTGAACCCAGAGGTACTCTACCTTTGAGCTATATCCCTAGCCCCCGCCCCCTCTTTTTTTATACCAAGGATTGATCCCAGGGCCACTTAATCACTAAGCCACATCCCTTTTTATTTTTTGAATTTTGAGACAAGACTTGCTAACTTGCTGAGGCTGGCCTCGAACTTGTGATTCTCCTCCCTCAGCCACTGGAGTATTTAGGATTACAGACATGTGTCACCGTGCTTGGATTGTTTTTAAATTCTTAACAGTATCTAGCATAGTAGTTTACCTGGGAATATTCAGTACTTTTTGTTTTGTTTTGATTGGAGTACTGGTGGTTGAACCCAGAGGCACCCTACCACTGAACTACATCCCYATACCTTTTTAATTTTCAAATGGGGTATCTTTAATTTGCTCAGGCTTCCCTTAAACATGATTCTCCTGCCTTCTGTCCTTTTTGAATGAGAAAATACTGCATCCTTGCTTGAAATCATTAAAGTTGCTCTGTGGAGAGATCATAGGTACAAAATATGTTTTAATTTTGTGAACATAGCAATCTTTTGTACAATCTGGAGTAGAAATAGATACCTTATATTACTTTGCTTCAGATGCAGGAAAACGAGATTCATTTCTGAAAAAATCTGCACTGGTTTAATGCAAAGTTTAAAATTAAAAGATTTTAAAAAATTAGTTTCTGATCTAAAATTAGTTTCTTGAGGTGTCTATTTTATGAAAAGGTCTTTTATTGCAYGCATTTATAATCTTTCATGCTCATACCCTACACTTTAAGCTTTTTCCTCAAATACCAACTTTGGGCTGTGTAAAATTAGTATGCTTTAAAAGATGTAATGTAAATTAATGGTTTAAATATAATTACAAACTGAAGATGCTTTTTCTATAGTGACAATTTTAAGCAGGCTTGAATATGGGACCCTGTAAAACAATTATGTGTTACAGGCTGAATATCTCTTATCTGAAATGCTTGGGGGCCAGAAGTGGTATTTTGTTTTTTTTGTTTTTGTTTGGTACCAAAGATGTTTAGCCACTGAGCCACATTTTCAGCCGTTTTTTTTTTTTTTTTTTTTTTTTTTTTATTTCGAGACAAGATCTTGCTAAGTTGCTTAAGGCCTCTCTAAATTGAAGAGGTTGACCTTGAACTTGTGATCTTCCTGCCTGTCTCCTAAATCACTGGGATTACAGGTGTGTGCCACCACACCCAGCCAGAAGTGTTTTGGATTTGGGAGTTTATTTGRATTTTGAAATATTACATATCCATAATGAGATATCTTGGGGGATGCCACCCAAGTTTAACCACAGAATTTTTTCATGTTTGCACATATATATATTATACACTTGGGCCAAAGATAATTTTATMGAGTATTTTTAGTGTGCCTGCATTTTGACTGCAACCTGTCACATGAAGTCAAGTGTGAAATTTTTCACTTGTATAATGTTGGCATTCAGAAAGTTTGGGATTTTGGATCATTTTGGGTTTTCAGATTAGGGATATTCAACCTGTTTTATTAATTACCAAGTTGCTATATAAGATTGAATGCAGTTAGTATTTAGCTTGTCTCTTAAAATTTTGGTCTGCTTTTTAGTCTTGCAAATTCTCCTTATTTGAACTACTCAGGACATTTTCCTCTTTTCATTGCTTCTCTCTGTAGCACACTCAGAAGTGCTGGGGCATTTCGGATAAACTAGAACATTTTGTATGTTTATAAATATGTATGTGAACTTAAAGCATTTTGATTTTCCACAGTTATTTTCTTTGATATTTTATCTTGTAATCTTGACATTTGAGYTCAATAAACATTTGTTGAAGAGTGCCTATTTCTAAGAACTTGGTGAAAGAATAAGACAAAGTCTCTGCTCAGAAAGCTTGCTGTTGGTGGCAATTCTCACTTCTTAATTCTTTCTTCATCTGAACAACACTGGGGCTGAAGCAACAACTGAAAGCTATTGTCTTGGAATTTTTTGAAAAAGTGTTTCTAAAATATTTTAAAATATCTGAGKTTCCCCAATCTGTTTGAACAGAAGAAATTGATGTGCAAATTTTTTTTTTAAAAAAGGAATGAATGTCTTGTTTGATAATATATTCTGTAAAAAAAATATTAAAACCTTTCTGATAGTTTTTGTGCAGTTCTAACTTTTTACCTTAAGAAGTCTTTTGGTAAATGTCCTACATACACAAGCCTTCGCAAAAATTGTCTAGCAATTTTTGTAAGGCTGCAAGCTATGACAAAATACTTTTTTTTTTACTTCAAGCATCTTGTAGTACAATTATGGTTGAGGGTGGTGCATTTTGATGTGTGAAGTTGAAATTTTCAAGTAAGCAATCACTCTACTACCATCAGATTATGATAATTTTTGTAATATTTTAATATATATTAAAATGTGTATGAAATATAAAATGTTAAGTATGTTTAATAACACATTTTTAAAATGACATATATGAAAATACATGAAGATAAAGCACAATTACCCAAATGCACTATGGTAATACTGTATTTTATTAATTTATCAGTATTGTAGGTGTTAGGTTGCCTTTCAACTGTATAAATGCCACATATTATTCATGTAATGTGATTTTAAAAGGACAGTTAAATCTTTTATTTAAARAAGAATGTTTTACTAGTCTCAGCAGCTGAAAAATGATAATTTTACCTGGTAGAAATTGAATACACAGGAATTAGAATTTGAATTTCCATTTTTTWAAAAATTCCACCATGTAATAATGCAAATGCAATAGAACAGATTATTAAATTGTTATCAGTAGCTAGAGAATAAGTATCTCATGTGAGTAACATAATATGGGTCCAAATTTATTTGTTTAAGTTCGCTTTTAAAAGAGTTCATACTTTTTTTTCTTYAGTGATTAAAATGTAAGGTTAGTTTTGGTTAGTTAGTTTGGGTCAAAGCATCCAATAACCTTAGAAATATAGAATGAAAAGAATCTAGATCAGAGTCCTAAATGGAYAAGTGCTGCAGTCTGGCTGGGCACAATTCAGGAACCACCTGTCAAAAGAAACGAACTTTATTTTTAGAACCACACACTGCACCACACAGCTCCTCAGGAAAAACCCTCAGAGCCCAACTGCCACCACCGGCTTCTCCCAAGCCTCTCAACCTCTCCCACTCCTCCTGCTCTTGAGGCCGATTGGCTGGGTCATGTGGGCGGAGCCAAAAAAAGTCCCCCAATGAGCAGCTGCGTAGTCTGAAAGGGCGGGGAAACAGCCCAATGAGCATCACCTCAGAGGAGCCAATCAGCTAGAAGTTGCTAGGGCCGCTGTGAGCCAATCATCAGCTGGCAGTCTGAAGTTTGCTGGTAGCTGGAAGTTTGCTGGGGCCCCTTCGGCTGTGGCTCTCAACATCTCCCCCTCTCTGTTTAAACAACAAGCATGTGGCTTAGGGACCATGCCTGCCTTAGGTTGTCCAATAGTACATATGGTTCTTACCCGTAATCGGATGAGCTGACCTCAAGGCGTCAGCCTCCTGTCTTAGGTTGGTACCATTGCAATTGGATCTTACCAGTTATTGACTACCAGTTCAGCATACAGCCACACCTGTGGATAGGTCTTTGTACCAGTGTGGGGGGGGTGAGGTTCTTTGCCTCACCTCTGTTGGCCCCCAAATTTTAGCTGAACGACTATGACAAGCAGAAGGGAGGAAGATACACCATGCCAATTGACTGCTCCTTTTGGAAAAATTGTACCACCAATGGCACCATCAGCAAAAATACCCCAACACTACCACAAGTCACTGCACCAACAGATAGTTCACAATGCATACAAGTGATACATAGTCCAGGGAAGTTCTGCAAGCAGTTCATTGATAACTTTTTACAGATGAAATCTCCATTGCAATGTTTAGAAACTCTATAGTCAAAAAATAGAACTGATCAGCAAAACATTAACCTAGGTCTGTATGAGCTCAAAAAACAAAATAGAACTTCATGATATGGGAAA